CCCGCTTTTACTCTCTTCGACTGCTCTCGCCCTCTCCCTCTCTCTCTCTCTCTCTCTCTCACTTCCACTTTCTCATACGCGACCATTGTTTCGCACAAGTGTCATCTCCTTCAGGTTTCGATTATCGCGCTAAAGCAGAAATTTCACGTTTGCATTAAAAGTCCCCTTCGGAAGCCCTGATAAATGAGAATCTCATCTCAAGGGCGCTCTCGAAATAGAGGAATATACATAACAAGCTACCCTGGCGCAACTTGCAGGTCCAACAATTTCCCTAATCCTCCTGATACGAGCTCCTCTCCTGCAAGTTCGAGCTGTCCATTCTGCCATCGAATCAAACGTTCATTCTTCTACAGCTCTTCGGCTTTAAAAAAAATGAACTTTCTTTGAGAATTTGGAGATAGGTCGATGTTATCCAGAAGCAATGAGCGGCGGCGGCGAACGTCAAAGGGTGTACATGCATTATGCGCATATAGCCTGATGCTACCATTAAGGAATTGGACTGGTTGTGGGTTCAGGAACGAGGGAAATCTAAATAACGGCGCACAGTGGAAGACTCTTTTGTACGTCCTGCGCAGCCTGTTTGAACTTCCTATGAAGACATGAATAACATCGGCGTGCCGATGCCTAATCGAGGGAAAATGTGCTCGGATTATCTGAGAGGGAGAATCGCGATCGTCATGGGAATTTGCTTCAGCGTATCTTTGCCTGCTAAATTCTGTTGACAATGACGTATCGGAACGTTTGCTAGGACACAATCGTAATGGAGAATTTGCTTGGAACGAAACACAGTGGGCGAGAGTGGAATTGGAAGGGAGGAATGGGAACAGTAGTGAACCAGTGGACCAGTGGGCCAACGGACCAATCAGCGAATGAGCAAGCGTCTCCCTGAGCGTTATGAATGAATTTAATCCTTTGACAGAATCTCCAAGGTAGCGAGGAAGCAGTACACGATTTCTGAAAAGGATTTTCATTTTGTACCAAGAAAGCACTACTAACCTGAGAGAAGAATGCTGGGCGGTAGAATGAAGAGGAGGATCGCGGAGAGAAAGGCCCTCCGGCCCTGACGGGCTACTTCCTTCTGGCAATTTTCCAACTGTCTCATCCTCGTGGCCACATGCTTCCCGCTTCGCGAATTAACACGGGTCCCTATCAGGCTGGCTGCTCCTTACATCGTAGTCAAAGAGGGTCCA